CTTCATTCTACTACTTACTTTTCATTACCTTGCTCTCTTTTTTGGTAGCTTTTTCAGATAGAACCATGCGTTATTTATTTTAGGCCTTTCTTCTTTTTAATATTAGTACTTAAAACTCCTCTAAGCACTCATTGAGCTGTCCTGACAAATTTCAGTATACTGTATTTTCATTGTGATTCATTTGAAAAGTATTTTCTAATTTCCTCTTTGATTTCTTCTTTGGCCCGTGTATTTAGAAGATGTTACTTAATTTCCACTTTCTTCCCTAGATATCTTATTATGAGTTGTATTTTGGTCAGAGAACATATTCTTTACAATTGTAATCATTAACTTATTAACACTTGTTTTGTGGATCAGCATATGGTCTCTTTTGATCAATGTTATCATCTACACTTGAAAAGAATATGCATTTTGTAGTTGTTGAGTATGGATGTTTAAATATTAGTTGAATGAAGATGATTGGTAGTGCTGTTCAGATAATCTATTTCTTAGTGATAATTTCCCCTAGTGTTCTATCAGTTGCTGAGAGAGAAGCTCTTGTATCTTCAAGTATGATCGTAGAAATGTTTATTTTCCCTTTAATTCTGTCAGATTTTGCATCATGCATTTTGAAGCTTTGTTACTGCTGCTGCTGCTGCTGCTCCTAAGTCGCTTCAGTCGTGTCCGACTCTGTGTGACTCTGTAGATGGAAGCCCACCAGGCTCCCCCATCCCTGGGATTCTCCAGGCAAGAACACTCTAAGCATAAGCAAATTGTTATTATGCCTTTTGATGAGCTGACTCTTCACATTTTGAAATGTCCCTGGTTCTGGTAATACTCTTTAAGTCCACTTTATCTGTTTTTAACATTGCCTTTGCAGTTTTTGCCAACAAAGGTCCATATAGTCAAAGCTGTGATTTTTCTGGTAGTCATGTACAGATGTGAGAGTAGGACCATAAAGAAGGCTGAGCACCGAAGAATTGATGCTTTAGAAATGTGGTGCTGGAGAAGACTCTTCAGAATCCCTTGGACTGTAAGGAGATCAAACCAGTCAGTCCTAAAGGAAATTAATCCTGAATATTAATTTGAAGGAGTGATGCTGAAGTTCCAGTACTTTGGCCACCTGATGAGAAGAGCTGACTCACTGGAAAAGACCCTGATGCTGGGAAAGATAGAAGGCAGGAGGAGAAGTTGGTGACAGAGGATGAGATGGTTGGAAGGCATCACTGACTCAATTGACATGAGTTTGAGGAAACTCTGGGAGATAGTAAAGGACAGGGAAACCTGGTGTGCTGCAGTCCATGGGGTGCAAAGAGTTGGACACCACTTAGCAACTGAACAGCTCCAGCCTTAGGGGCTTCCCAGGTGGTAAAGAACCCACCTGCCAATGCAGGAGACACGAGATGCAGGTTTGATCCCTGGGTCAGGAAGATCCCCTGGAGGAGGATATGGCAACCACTCCAGTATTCTTGCCTGGGAAATCCCATAGACAGATGAGCCTGGTGAGCCACAGTCCAGGAAGTCACAAAGAGTCAGATGTGCCTGAGCAACTCAGCACAGCACTGCCGCAGCTCCAGTCTTACAAGCTTACTGTTTGTGTAATATGTCTTTTGCCATTTATTTACTTTTAATCTATTGAAGTGTAATTCTTGCAGATATCATATAGTTGGGTCTTGCCTTTTTGTCCGTTTTAACAACCTCTGCCTTTTAATTGGATTGTTTAGTCCTTTAACATTGAAAGTAATTATTGATACAGTTGGATGTAGGTTTACTATTTTACTGTTTGGTTCTCTTTTCTTTCTTCTGTTCTCATTTCCTGCGTTCTTTTGACTTAATACTTTTTGCAGTCCCCTTCACATTATTTAGCTTTTTAACTGTGTTCTTGATGCATTTTGTCTGTATGTGTGATTGCTCTAGGAATTGCAAATAGGTATCCTTTAACTTTGCATACTGTTTAGAGCTAATTCTACTTAGAACCTTGTACCATGTCACATACATTGTGGAAATATTGCAATCACATTTCCAAATTGGTCCATTTGTGACCTCCTTCATCCTTTATGCTTTGATGTCAAATGTATTATATCTACATACATTATAAACTCCACATGGCAGTGTTGCAATTTTTGGACAATCAGGTTTATTTAAATTACTAGGGAGGAAGTAGTCTTTTATATTTACTCAGTATTTACCATTCTTGATGCTCTTCATTCTTTTAATTTTCTTTCTATTTTACCTTAAGCTGGGATTTTTGTGGTTTTCCCTGCACAGGCACGGTTTACACAGAAGCCATATGTTTGAACTGAATGTGTATCAGAATTTAAGGCTCCTCCTTTCTGACTCTGCTCTTTTCTCTCACTTTGCAGTGGCTTTGGTTATCTTGCACCTTGCCCACTGCTTTTTTAGGCCAGAAAGACTGAAGGGTTTTTTCTTCTTTTTTTAAGAGCTGGTTTAGGCCAATATCTTCATGAAATGGGTAACTCACTTAGTTCCATTCTTCTTTGTAATTGTTGATTACTCTCCACAGTCAACCTGCTTTTTGGTCATTTTCCAGAGCTCTCAAATATTTATTTATAGTTGTTCTGTATAGGATTGGTCTGATAGATGATAATTCAGCCTGTATTGGAAGTAGAACCAGGACTTTTTAAGCTAAAAATGGTTGGAAAATATGGTGTGGTAATGTACAGTCTTTGGAGAAGGAAATGGCAGCCCACTCCAGTATTCTTGCCTGTCGAATCCCATGGACAGAGGAGCCTGGCAAGCTACAGTTCATGGGGTTACAAGAGTCGGATACGACTTAGCAACTAGATCATAGTCTTCTTATTTTAAAATATTTAGAAAAAGAGAGAAATTATGATGCGTGTAATGCACACGCACACTGAAACAGAAAGAACTAGCTTTTCTAACTCGAGTCTGCTTAATAGAACGTTAGATTGGAGTACATTTCCATGTAAGCGTACATAGTTTACCGTGTGTCAGAAGAAAAAATTTAAGGTTAAGATATGTATGTAGGGATATAAAGCTTTGGGATTTACTATGATTATTTTCAAGGGGATTATATTAGCTCCCCTCACATTTTAAAATTGGTGCAGACTGCTGAAACCTTGGCTTATTTCAAAGATTGAGTTTTATTGTGTGTTATACACCTAATGTTTTTTCACTTCTGATATATATTTGTCTTCTTTCCGTTAATGTAGTAAAGAAGATAGAGTGTCAGAATCCTCAAAATGGTCAGTTTATGAGTCACAATTTTTGATGGGTACTTTCCAATAAAATTTCCACTTTCTAGGAAATGTTCCTTTCCTGTTTCCTCTTATTACTCCTTGGGTTCTTTATAATGCAGGAGGCAAAACTCTATGCTTTGATTTTGCTTTATCCTCTGTGCCAGTGGTTTTCCTCCCTGCTGTGTCTACTTTACTTTGTATTATTTTCTTTTTCTCTCTTTTAAAAAGAGTTATTTTTCATGACCTTTAATTTTTTAATCCTTGTATGTACTTAGAAAGAAAGATTTGAAATATTGCTTACATTATTTGATTTTTTTCCCCCTCATTACTTTTACACATTATACATTTGCCTAGCTCTTATCCTTTCATCCTTGGAGTTGTAAAATATTTTAAAATACTTTGCTCAGTATGTAGAGAATTTGAAAAAGTAAAAGCAAGGACTCTATATATTCTCATTACATTGGGAAGGTCCTGCTTGTTGAATTTTTAGGTATTTCAAGATGTTCCAGTCAACTGACAAGGACTTCTCCTCACAGTGTCAGAACTGTAGTGATGATGAGAGTAATGCAACTAGGAAATAGTTCTGGTATGTAACCACTTTTGCATGTTTACTTCACCAGAAAACTCTGTGGAGTATAGTGGTATCTTATATTCCTTGTTAAAAATTTGGAAAACTATTTGCATGCTTTCAAAGTAGATTTTGAGGTAATAGTACTAGTCAAAGAATAAGAGATTATATTCTAAGCAGGTATAAAATAATGAAAAGTTTTAGAATATCTTCATTTCTTTACTGTCCTAGAAAAGGAAAAACAAAACTTAATTTGCATTCTTAGAACTTTCCTAATAATCCAATAATTGCCTAAACTCTAGGTTTTAGCACATTTCTTATTATAAAGTCATTATGATACTATATGCTTTTTTAGTAAAATAACATTTACAAATATGTCATACTCCTTTTTATGTAGCTTATTGATGGAGATTCATTGGCTTTTCACTTTCTAAAAACTAAACTCTTCAGTTCTTATGTTGTCATAGATTATAAATATTTTAGAAAATATATATCCAGTTTGTAATGTATTTCTTTGGACACTTTGGTTATACTAGATCTTTATTGCAGAGTGACCCATGGTTTGGGTTCTTTTGTATAGTATATCAGTTAATTCTGTTGGATTGAGTGAGAATAAAGAAGGTGGAATTCTCTGCCATTTTACTGTAATTTACTCTTATACAAATGATGAGTTGGTTATTATTATGAGATTACATAGGTAGCGTTTTTGTGGTTGTTAATTTTTAGATTTAATGATGGCACTTGAATATACTTTGATATAATATACTTGAGAAAACTTTCTGTGTTTATTATGACATATAAGTAATGTTGCTATTTAGTGAATCACACCCTACTCTCTGGGGTCATTTTGTTGTGTAAATGTTCTTTATTATCCTGTAGTATATTTTTCAAAACTCAAAATATTCAGTACATTATCAAGGGATATTAATTAGTCTCATTGTAGAGATACAAAGACTTATTTACACAAAGCCAAAAACAAGTGATTTGCCCAGGGATATAGGGTCATAGTAGGCCTGTAACTAAAGCTCAATTTGTTTTTCTAGCCTTGTAATTTAATCTATACCAAGAAATATTTCCTGTATGGATAACTTTGGTTCATTCACTTAAAGATAATTTATGAATAAACTCTGCTGTTCTATCATTTTGTAATTCTGCTAGTGTTTTCTTCATTGTGATAAAAAAGAAATGCTATAGTAACTAATTCTTGAACACACCCTCTCTTTCCCCTTCAGAAAAGTTGGAAGCTCAACCACCAACCCCAGGACAGCTGAGATATGGTAATGGTTCTATAATTATTTGTGCATCTGTCTTTTGGACTTGAAATAGCTATGTTATTCATTAATAATACAGAAGAGTCAATAAATTAATTCATTCCAGATAGAATAGATTATCTTATTTATTATGCTAAAGCAAAAGCTTTGTAAATTTGGTTTAAAACATAGTATTATGGAATTTCTAAGATTGTTAACCATGTCTGTTAGTGTTTAAATATTGTTACCATCTAGAGATAGAATTGTAGTAGAGGTTTTCTTAGTTCCTGGATAAAAGGATATGTTTACTTTAGTTTGGATTTAAGTTGGGTTATTTCAGAACTAGAATTTCTAGGCTATTTTCTTTGGTAGAGAAAATGCTCTGACTTGTTTCTAATAATGAAGAAAGTAAAGTTCATTTTAAGCCACCCCAAAGAAGAACCTTATAATGCTGCTGGTCTGCTTTCTTTACTGTATTATGATTGGAATAACTGTTCAAGGGCTAACACCAAAGTAATGTAAAACAGTTTAGGGTCTTGTTATAAAGACAATGGAAGAAGAGAATTATTTAGCAGTGCAGTGAATTTGAATTGGTTGTAAGTTAAAGCTAAATATTAGATATGGTTCACTGATAACTGCTGAGTTATAGAATAATATTTTCCAAAGGAAACTGAAGAAATCACATTGGTAGTCTGTCATTACATACTGGAGAGCAGACATATAATTAAAATATAGTAGCTAGTTCCTTTTTTTCTCTCAGAGATAGAATATAATTTGCCTTAGAAATTAGTAGCTTTTCCCAGGTATCAAAACAATTTAAGAATTCTTTAAGATTTTTCTTTCCCTGGTAATCTTTTCTGATGCTTCTAGGCTGGATTCATATACTATATATCCATAGCACTGTATAATGCTATCACCATTTAGGGGGTCATATTGAAGTTAACTATATGGCTCTGTTATCATTCCCAGACTTCTTGAGGGCTGGGATCAACTATCTCTGTATCTCAAGTGCCCAGTGGAGTGTCCAGTACATGTTATGTAATTTTTTGAAATTTATATTTTTCCTTTGGGTTGAAAATAAATTTTTATTTATAGGACACATTTATTTACATCTAAACATCAAAACATGATATATTTTACAGTTGCAGGTAATTATTACAGCAATGTAGCAACATGCTTTGGTTTTACTGACCAAGTTTCTACTAAGATAACTATTAGCTTAATCTTAGTTTAGTAACCTGACACCTAATTTTAAGATATTTATAACTAGCTAGTTTTAGAGATGCCATCAGATTAACCCCAAAATGTTTAGTAATTCCAGAAGTTTCATATTTTACCATATTTACTTTTCAAAGATGATTGAGAAGGTGTTTGGGAGTCTTCTCTTCAAATATATGTATCTAAGTAGCAGCTCTGTCTTCTCTGTAAGTGTTTCATATAGTGAACTATTAGAATTTCATTGTATTCCTTTGACTTACCAATTTGTAGTATTTTTTGAAATTCTGTATGTGTTTTAGAAGCTGATTATTATAAAATTTTGAATGTCTGGTCATTAAGCACCTGAACCTAGGCAAAAAGTTGAAGAATTAAGACAGCCCTTTAATGGAGAAACGCTGTTTCATTAATGTCATTTGATTTTTTATTATCTTTTAAAACAATATACTTTGTAATTAAAAAGATGCTACTTTTTACCTGGGACATTCTTATGTGGTAACAAGAACTCTGAAATGGCCTAGAATATATACCATTTCACCCCTTGATTCTTAGTCTTTGACAGTGCTTATGGGTAGAAATGTTTTACTGTTTATTAGCCTTCCCTTATTGGTGCAGAACTCACCATAGTAGTATCAAATTTCATAACTTCTGGATTATATTTTAATTGTATTTTCTGTGGACTTAACTACATTAAAAGAAAAAAGATGTAAAGTCACTGAACACTAAACACATAACTAACCAATTGATTTAGGGGACAGTTTTTTGGATGTGGTATAAAACTGAATGCTTTGATGCCTGTTTTTAAAAAGTCCTCAGTTGAACGGATGTTGACTATACCTTGGCAGATTTATAGATTAATTAGAATAAAGTCTTAACTGTCCTCAGCTTTTAATCTGTTTCACAGTCTTCCCTCAATTGTCTTAGTCTGGAATTTTCTTCCTTTCCAAGGTAGATGTCCTCAACTTAATTAACTAATGTTTGTTGAGCATCTACTATGCACTAGGCATTCTGCAATGTGCTGAAGATGCAAATAAGAAAAAAAGATGAAGTTAAATATATTTAAAAAATAGATATTAGCTCTTCCTAGTTACATTTCTGTTTTCTCAGGTCATCCAGATTATGTACTTTGTAGATAAGATATGGTGTGCTTTTGGTAGGAAGAGGCCAAGTTACATTTTAATTTAAATCAAATATTATTTGTTTTAGTTTGTGAAAGCAATCAGGGATACTGATGTGTCAAGGAAGGAAAGAGGACTTTGAATCCAGATGTCTAATAGAAATGACATAATCACAGTTTTTTCCTAACAGTGTTTAAAAAATTGTTTGATAAGTAAATGTGACCAGATAACTTCCCTGAAATTTGATTCAAAGATTTTCTATTATTTCTAATATGGAGATCAATTTTATGATATCAATCTTTAGGTCTAAGAGAGAAAAAGATTGATGTCAGTAGTTATTTAACAGGTAAAATATGGTACTCATAAAATGTATTTATTTATTTGTTCTGTCATTAACTGTATGTAATTTGTACGTGTGTGTGTGTTGCCAGTAAGAAAGCACAAAAGCCTAACACAATTAATTTTACATGTTACGTGTTTTTTATTTTGTTTTTTCCCCATTATAGCTTCTACCAAGTATATAAACATAGCAGAAGCAGAATCTTTTGGCTGTGGGGAATGGAAAGTAAATTCTAAAACTTAAATCATATCTACTTATGAGACTTTAATCATATGATCTGTTTTTGTCATTTTAAAATTAGAGAAACCTTAAAATATATTTTTCTGTTTTTGATGTTTTTCAGTATTCATCCACAATGCGATACCTTTCATAGGGTTTGGCTTTTTGGATAATGCAATTATGATTGTTGCAGTAAGTTCTTTCAACCCTTCTATTTTGAATTAATAAATAAATGTGGTCTAAATTTTCCTAATAATTTATATATTATAGTTGTAAAGCTTTAACAAATGAATAAGACTTTTTAGCTTTATTTCATGTTAATTAGACTGTAGCTCAATTTTAAGGCATTATATCTATTAATCAAGACTTTTGGTAAAGCATTGACAATAATAAACAGATACTCATTGAGTCTATATTATTCTGTTCTAGTTTCAGCATTATTAAAGAAAAAAGTTTGTAAAATTTTCTGATGTCCTTTATCAGCAGTTCTCATATGTGTATGTTATTAATTAGTTCTTTGTCCAGTTTTCCCATACAAAAATGTTTACAAGAGTGTTTTGATATTCAGTCTATCCGTTTAACTCAAAGATGATTTAAGTTTCAATTCAGAATACTGTAAATGTAAGGCCTTCAGTCTGTTCCATCAGTGTTAAAAATTCTCTTTTGCTGAAGTCATTTTCATTTAAGGTTGTTTCTTAAAGGTCTTGTTTAGTCTTAGGAATGGTCGATTGACCTTTCTTACTCTTCTGTGGCATGTTTTGTCAATAGATGTCAACCCAGTTTGGGGTTTAGATTAGAAAGTCATGATAAAAATACATGTCCATCATTAGTCCACGAGGAAAATGCAGGTCTTCTGAAGCTGCCTAGTGCTGTATCCAATTCTCCTCACTGACTTGAAGTTTTAAAAAGTCTAAAAATTCTAGATATTGTGTAGGAAACTGCTCAAAAAAAAAAAAGAAGTGATTTTAGGATTATCAAATATAAGGAAAGAATATTTGAGAGATGCCAGGGTTTTGTTTTTTTTTATTTGTCGTCGTTTGTTTTGTTTTTTGTTTCAGTGTTTTGACGGTCACATGTACTGTAGGTGGGTAGAAATAGAATATTTGGTTTTAAAATAGGGATGGAAGTATAGTTTACATTGTATAGATTATAAAATTTGCTTGAAGACTATCAAATTGGTTCGCTCAAGAATGGTTTTCTTTGCTATATAGTCTTAGTTTATGTCCAGATTGATGGGAGATATCCAGAAATTCTAGCCATTCAGCTGGTTGAGGAAACACAAGGTTTACACATTAGGAAGGTATCTCGCTTGGTAAATAGTCATAGAAAAATACTGTAGCATATACATAATTTGAAAGTGATAAGCACCCATTGGATGGATAATTCTTGAGCAGAGTAGTCTGGTAAGAGCATCTAAAATATAATTTCAAAATGCTAGCTTTTTGGCTGATAATGATATTTTCCTAATATGTATACAAGAATCAAGATGATTAATTTATATATCTGTGAATAAAAGAAACTTTTTCAACCATGCCATACTACCTTTTCTGAAATAAGCCTTTAGTGAGCCTTGAGTTGGTTAGATTATTTAAATTGTTAATGTAAATAAAATCTAATTTTATTTACTATTTATAGAAAAACCCACTATGATTAAATTATGAACTGCCTTTAAAACTTGGTATATTCCTGAATAGATTGGATTAAAGCTTCTCTGTGACAATTTTACACTCAGTATTTTAATTCTGTATTGAAAGCAGGTATCTCCCCATTCTACCATCTTAATAATCTTTTTGTTTTTTTGGCCTCAGTTGAACAAACCTTAGATACTCAAAATGATGAAAAACTATCCTTGCTAAAGGGAAATGTTGAGATGATATATTTTGCTTAAAGAGGAGGGCAAGGAGATTTTGAAGAGGGAGCAGAATAGGGAAACTGGGTAGTTTCTTAGGTCCTGAATAAGACCTTCACAGTATGGTCTTGGGGATTCCCTGGTAGCTCAGCTGGTAAAGAAACCACCTGCAATGCAGAAGATTCCAGTTCAATTCCTGGGTCGGAAAGATCCCCTGGAGAAGGGAATGGCTACCCACTCCAATATTCTGACTTGGAGAATTCCATGGACTGTATAGTCCATGGGGTCTCAAACAGTCAGACACGACTGAGTGACTTTCACTTTCATCAACTTTCAGTATGGTCTTACTATTTCTTTGAAATAAATATCTCCAGTAACAGATGTGCTGTGCTGAGTCACTCATTTGTGCCCAACTCTGTGACCCAATGGACTGCAGCCCTTCGGGCTCCTCTGTTCATGCGGATTCTCCATGCAAGAATACTGGAGTGGGTTGCCATGCCCTCCTCCAGGGGATCTTCCCAACCCAGGGATGAACCCTGGTCTCCCTCAATGCAGGTAGATTCTTTACCATCTGAACCACCAGGGAAGCCCAAGAGTACTGGAGTGGGTAGCCTATCCCTTCTCCAGGGGATCTTCCCAACCCAGGGATTGAACTGGAATCTCCCACATTGCAGGCAGATTTTTTATCAGTTGAGCTACCAGGGAAGCCCCAAGAAACAGATATCTGTGTTTACATACAGTTACCAATTAAGACAGAACAACAACACCCACATTCTAAAGTCAAATTATTGTAGTGTTGTTCCTATCTTGTGTTACTCAGGCCTGTGTCTAATTATTAGTGTGACTAGAGTGAACTGTTTTTCTAGGCCTGAGATGATTGACTCCAACTCAGTAAAATTTGTTTTTCTGGTTTATGTTGAAATCCAGTTTCACAGACATCACCAGTTTTTTATTTATATAGTACTGAAATAAGTATTTAAACTACTGGCTTAAAACGGATTAAGAGTAAGAGGTGTGGCAAAAATATCCAATAATTGCAGAATAATTCAGGAAGTTAAATTTTCCAGAGAGACTTTTTTAATAGACTGTTAAGACTAAAAATCCATAAATAATATAACTATAGAATCTATGAAAAGGCAAATAAGTGAACATTGTTATCTTAAGAATGTTTTCACCTTTTTTAGTTAAACACTAACTGCCATTGTAGGATAGCTATGATTGTTTGAAGATAGCTAGTTAAGAAAGCCTTCTTTTTAATGTTTAATTTTTAACTGATTCTTTTTTTTTGTATCGTGCCATTTGATATTTTTCCTGTTAGGTACACTTTCTTGACTGCTACCCTAATTGCAATCATGTAAACAAATTCCTATATAATTTCTCATAGTAGATTTGACTTTTATTCTTGGCTGCTGTTCATACTAAATTTTTGATTTCATAGTTTTTTATTTTTGTGTTGTTGGTTTGCTTTTTATAACTTAGATTTTAGTGGGTAGGGGGGAATTCTTTTCCTTACAATTTAATTAGGATAGAGTTGATTAGAGTTCTAGAATAGATGAATAAGATTAAGGTGACGAACCAAGTACATCTTTAAGACAACTTGTACTAGATTTATTTATAATTTCTACCCCACCTGTTAACATGAAATTTGATGTTATTATGGGAAAAAGAAAAAGAGTGGAGATTTCATTGCCTTCAAACCAACTTTGAGTTTACATGAAGCTTTTCATGCTATTAGAAGCATCTTCAGGTTTCTTAAATTCAACCAAGTAATTAAGCATGTAAATGCTTTATAAATACATGTGTTGGTAGACAGATTCATTTTAGGTAATTTCCAATGATTCATTGCTGTTAAAGATGCTGTATTTATTTTTTATACATTGTAGCTGTCGGGCGCTTCTCTCCTATATTAATACTCCAGGGTATTTTGCATCCATGTATAAAGATATTTCTTTGTGCCAGTTTTCTTTTTCTTTAGAAATCTGTTTCTTTGTGTTCCTTTACAACCTTGTAACTTTAATGCCTGGGAGACTTTTACATCAGGCTATTTGGTCCATACGCTACAGGAATTATATTTTAAAGGAGTGGAATCAAAAGGCTTAGGGGAAGGAAAATTGAGGAAGTTAAACTTAACTTCTCTTCAGTTTTGTAAATAATTGCGTAATGCCATATTACTGTATACCAGATAAGGCATTCTCTTTTGTTTTTCCTCAACAAATACTGAGATTTGTAGGGCATTTTTTTTTTCTCTACAAGTGTCATTGAGATTTAAAAAAATTTTTTTAGAAATTTTCAACCATCAATATTTAAGAGAACTTTTGAGAAGTCCATTTTTGGCAGTATTGCATAAGGGTTAGAACTGAATTAGCACAATAGGTTCTAGGATTTCTTTTTTGCTATATCTCTATTGTATTAAATGCTATTGTTGCTTGTAAATGAATTATATAGTCTTATTATCTAGTGATTAAAGAGCTAAATGTTTTAAAGATAATTTTTGAAGTCTGATTTTTTGGGTCCTTAGAAACTGGTCTAGTCTTAAGTCTTTTATAAGGTAGATACCAATAGTATATAATTGTATCATTCAGAATTTAAAATTTAGATGAGTTGGTTGTCTTTGTGTTCAAAAGCATTAAAGTACCTTTCTGTAGTAGGAAAATATAAATTCTAGATTATTAATGATGAATTGTATTGCTGTGTGTTTCTATTTTTTATTTTTATGAAGGCTTAATTGTAATGAATAAAATATTGATGTTATTTCTGCATGATTGCATATATTTAATAAATAAGGGATTTGCTATAGTATATGCATATTTATGTATATTATATATAACTTTGCTGTAATAACATTGTTTTATCTGTTTCATTAATACTTTGCTATTCTTTTATAGTCACTTCAGTTTTAATTTTTAAGATTAATTTCTTTGTAATTGTTTTTCAGGGAACCCATATTGAATTGTCTATTGGAATTATTTTTGGAATTTCAACTATGGCAGGTATTTAATAATAGTAGTGTTATTATTCCATTGTATATTTATGAAACATTTTAGTAGATTAAGTATAGAAGAAGATTCATTTGAATGAATTTACTCACTGAGATGTCATTAATAATTTATCTCCTTGATCCTGTCTTTTAATTTTTAATTTTGTACATGTAGTATGCATTTTTCTGAGAAAGTTTGGGTACTTTATGTTAGTTAATGAGTAACAATAATCTACTATATTGACTGTGTTAAAAAATTTTTTTTCTCTTAATTCAGTGTTACCGTAAAACCTTCCTACCCATTTTCTCTATCAAATTATTTATTTTCAAGTTGGGAAGAAAAATCAAGGAAGGAAACACAAGATCAAAAATCTGATTTGGTTCTGTCTCCTTCTTTCCCCACAAATACCACTCTACTCTTCATGATGGTGGAATTTGGGAACAATTCTGTGTTGTGTTATTATGGAACATGTGAAGTAGATGAGTAATGAATGAGACATTTCTTCTCCTTGATTTTCTTGAATGTCATAGCTGTACATATAGCTTTAGTCTTTAACTTTCAAGTATCCAAATTCCCTTAAATATTGTCTGAAAGTTGAACTACAGAATGTTATGCAGATGTTTTAATATTGAAACCAAAATGGAAACTGGCTATCAGGAAAAAAACTGCTAATTGATGGAGGTTTATGAGTTACTTTGGATATAGTCATTGTAGCTTAGAAAGGTGGTAACTCTTCCAGACTAGTGCTTTATTGATTACACAGTGATCTACTATAGTGATTTTTCTGACTTTTATGTAGTAATTCACTTGTGCATTTTTCATTTTTTTAGCTGCTGCTTTGGGAAACCTTGTGTCAGATTTAGCTGGTCTTGGGTAGGTTCACTTGTGCATGTGTATACTTACTCTCTATTCTCCATTCTCCTTTAATTGGGAAGGATTTTGAAAAGGGACACTTATTTTTTTTTGTTTTTTTTTGGGGGACACTTATTTTTGCATGTGTGTTTTAGAACTAAATTTTTAAAATTAATGTTTCTAAATCAGCAGCACTAAATCTTTGGTGTGCATCAAATATAGATGCCTAGCTCACATCTCAGTCTTGCAGAATTAGTGTCTCTAGGGATGGGGCCCTGACATTTGTGTTAAAGAATCTTCTCAAGCAATTCTGATATGTGTAAAATTTTTTCCTAAGACTACTGTAAGGTAAGCAGAGTTGAGTTTTTCATTTCCTGAAATGTTTATATGTATTTTATAAATATTTCTAAGGATGAGACGACTAAAAGTAAGAAACCCTATCATTATTTCATACCCTCCGTCCTCCCACTAAGTCCAAAGATAAGAAATATGGCTCAAATGTGAGGATACTGACTGGTCATGTTCACTAGAGAGAGGAATTTTCAAAGCGAATAATGGCCAAAGCTTACATGGACTTGGCTAATTTTTGCTCTTTTTATTCCATGTGGCAAGAAGGAATGATGAAACAAACTGAGGGCGTCTACTCAGAAAAGGCCAGCTTTCTCTTTCTGTTTTTACATTTTCTCTTCTAAGCAGCAGATGGCCTGGGCTGCTTCCTGAGCTTGGGAAAGCCTAGGAAGTATGAATTAGACAGAGTTGGCATTAATTATTGTGATAAACATACTCTGTCTTGCTCAGTCTTTGGTTCTGTTTCTTCCTCTTTTTTTTGGTTCATTTTGATGGTAAGTTTTGAGATTTGAATTTGCGTCTATGAGCAGTCTAATTAGCCCTATAATCTAGGGAAAGGCAGCTTTATTCATGATCTAACTCTGTACATTAGACATCTGCACTTGAGTATGGGGCCACAGCTACTGTTCAAAACACAATTTCTTTGTTCTGGGCCAAAGCAGAAATTTTGTATTCCTGTAATTTCTGATGTAAACCTACAGTGATATTATCCCTTAAACATTCCATTTCCCAGTTTCCAACATTAACGTTTATAATGATAATATTATAGATTTGTTGGGACTCTTCCATCTAAGAACTATTTCTCCTCTGCCTTAAAAAAATACCATTATGTGGTAAATACCACATTTTATCAATCTTAGTTGCATAGGTTTTTAGAACTTAACATATCTAATATTGGGATCCATTTATAATTGATGGTATGCATAATTTAATTGGCAAATTTTTTTCTTTCTTCCATTTCTGAAAGTAAGATTGTATCCAATAAGCAGTGGCCACTTAGAAAATAACTTGAAATTACCCTGAAAATTATAGGCTGTTTTTCTTAGTATATCAGTCTGATAAATTTTAAGAAAACTTTTTTTCTGGTGACAGCTATTAAATTATATGTTAAAGTGCTTTGCTTTGAATTTGGAATAAATGCGTTAATTGTAATTGTAATTGTAAAATTTTTATATACTTTGAATTGTTCTTTTTAAAGCAGTGGTAGAGAGTAATTACTCTTAAGTCAGTTAATTTACCTGTGTATTAAATATGTCAATCTGGAAAATATTAAACCAAATATATGTATATACAATAAAGATGAAAATTGTAAAAGAATGTTTACACCATTTCTGGAGTATACAGATATAGAATTATCTTTGTTGTAGTCATGAGTTTTTCATATGTGAGGACATAGTTTTTCGTATGTGTCTCTTTAAAAACTTATACTCTGTCCTCTTGTATTTTTTTTATTTTTAAAAAAATTTATTTATTTTAATTGGAGGCTAATTACTTTACAGTATTGTGGTGGTTTTTGCCATACACTGACATGAATCCGCCATGGGTGTACATGTGTTCCCCATGCTGAACCCCCCTCCCACCTCCCTCCCCATCCCATNCTCCCCATCCATCCCTCAGGGTCGTCCCAGTGCACCAGCCCTGAGCACCCTGTCTCATGCATCGAACCTGGACTGGCCATCTATTTCACATATGATAATATACATGTTTCAATGCTGTTCTTTCAAATCATCCCACCCTCGCCTTCTCCCACAGAGTCCAAAAGTTTGTTCTTTACATCTGTGTCTCTTTTGCTGTCTCGCATATAGGGTTGGATGGCATCACCGACTCAACGGACATGGGTTTGTGTGGACTCAGGGAGTTGGTGATGGATAGGGAGGCCTGGCATTCTGCAGTCCATGGGGTCTCAAAGAGTCAGACATGACTAAGTGACTGAACTGAACTGATACAGGGTCATTGTTACCATTTTTCTAATTTCCATATATATATATGCGTTAATATACTGTATTGGTGTTTTTCTTTCTGACTTGTCCTCTTGTATTTTTAAAGACTTGCAGGCTACGTTGAAGCTTTGGCTTCCAGGTTAGGCCTATCAATTCCTGATCTCTCACCAAAGCAAGTTGACATGTGGCAAACACGTGTTAGTTCACATTTGGTGAGTACTTTGTGTGGTTTATGATAATGAATTTGGGTAGCCAGAACAAGAAACTGTATATAATTCAGTCCCTTGAGAAATTTGAGATTAAAATTGATTTGAGTGGAGTTTTTAACAAAAACTGTCCAAACCTTAGTAGGTTTCAGAAAAACTAATCATTGACTTTTTTTTGTAGGCATACAAAAAAAATTTTGAAAAAAATATTTATATGATTCAGTAACTGTTGAGGAGTATCAGTTATGTACTGAGACTGAAGGACATAAAATGAGTAATGAACTATAGTTCTTTTTGAGCATTGTATAGGTAAAGAATCAGACATATTAAAACAAATTATAATTTAGTGTGACATATTCAGTAATAGAAATGTACACTGGATATAGCAGAAGCACCAGGAGAAGAATTAAGTCTTTGTGGAAAGAAATTTCTTTTAGTGGGGAGATTTCTTGGTGCATATTAGATCTAAGCTTATTTTTAAATTATTGATGAGACATTTATTAGGTGGGAGAGAGAATTCCAAGTATATTGATTAGCAAGTAGAAAGGTATGATGATAACTAACTGGAAGTTCCTGGCAGAGAGAGGGACTGCATCTGACTAATCTTGTCTCCCTGGTACCTGCCATAGAGTTTGGTACTTTGTAGATTCTCAGTAAATGTCTGTATGAAGATGTATAACTTAATTGGAAAGTATTTTAACCTTAATAGTCATCATAAGAATGCAACATTTAAAAATCATTTACAAAAATTAAATAAATTTTTCATAATATAGGTGAGGTCACAGAAAAATTGTGTGTATGTAGGCATATAAATATATTGCGGTGGGTATATACATCTATTTGCAGTTTTGTCTAGAATAGACAGCAAAGCAGTATAATTATGCACAGATATTCATATTATTTGATTTTTAGATAAATCATTGAGGAAGAACTATACACTGAAATGTTTATTGTTCTATCACTGACAGTAGCAGTGATTTTTAATGGTAAGAAGAGCTTTAACATTTATTATAGGCCCATCAATTCAGTGGAATTTAGAAGTTTTTGTATTAAGTTTATGAAACAGTTTGAAAAAGAGTTTTTTATAACGTATGTGACTGGTGGGGGGAGGAGGAAAGCAGTAAACAAAGTTATGTTTACATAATGATTAGCCCTACATATATAATTAGGTATACATGGGGATAAATACTGAAAAGGAATATATACAAAGGACAGCAAATCCAAATATATTGAGAGTACTGGGTGAGATTTTTCGTTCCTTTCTATCTTCTGACTTTAAAATACATGTATATTTTTAAGGTATTTTCTATTTGAATACTTCTCTAATGTTATTTTTATGGCAATTTGAAAAAATTTTTTAATTTTTTTCCTGGTTGCCTTGAACTTTACATATTATTTGTTCTAGAACCTTTTTGTATGTTATTTTTAAATTTAAGTTAGCATGATCAAAAGAAATATAGTAACAGTTGAATTATATAGTACATAGTAATTTTTATCATAGATACTTAAGCAGATGTTCCTCTTACAGGGATAAAATAACTTTGAAAAAAATGTTTTCTTTTGTTTCTGTAGGGTAAAGCTGTCGGAGTGACTATTGGCTGCATTCTAGGAATGTTCCCTTTGATCTTCTTTGGAGGAGGTGAAGATGATGAAAAACTGGAAAAGAAAAATTAACTCACGTAGAATACCTTTAAAAAGATGTAAACTAATGTACCTCAGTTATCAAATATGCTGTCAACAGCATTTAGGAATTAAGACAGTAACAGTGTATAGATAACGGGATCAAATAATTCAGCATGTATTATGGAAAACACTAACTTATTGTGGCTTGGTTTTCTTAGGACATCTTTTTAAAAATTTTTGTGTAAATTGGTAAAATGCTTTTTCATCAATGGCAGTCAACATTTTACCTTTTCTTTTTCTTTATATACCAAAATTCCATTTAAGTATCAGTTGTTGATGTACCATGCTAACTTGAGATTTACCTGTTTGTTACTTACCATGTGTACACGCATGAAAGCATTTTCTGTCGTTGTTGTCTCCTACAGTTACAATTCAACCTTAAAATTTTTTCCAAATTACTTAAGATGTTTAATATCAGTTGAATATTTCTTTTTTACTCTCTTTTTGGCAACATCAATTTTGTACTGTTTCACAGTAAACATTTACAATCATCTAGTTTCAGTCATTTTTTAAAAACTCTCACATCTATTCAAAATGAACAGACTTTAAGTACTTATCACTCATTTTAATTTTCTGACCTCTCAGTCTCAAGAGCCGGAGATTAATTAGGATGAACAATTATTTTTAGTCTCCCTACTACATAAGAACATATATGTTAAGAAGTGCATTATTTTGAGTTGGTTTTTATGCTTTTATTTTCTCAACTTTGAGTAATTATGTAGTGGTTTTTGACTCCTACGGGAAAGAAAGTCACTAGAGTGCTTTTAATGCGGGTTGTGAGATTTGGGTCAACTAAGAGGTTTTACATGACACTTGGAAAGTTACGAGGCTAAAAAAGTTTTTTTCACAGAAGTATAAAATGGAAACTGTTAAGAAGGTCTGTGGTATAATTGGTGAAGTTGAGGTGATGTGTGTAAGGTTAATAAGTACAAATAATATTGTTTGGGAATGCTCCTCCCCTCCAAAGTCTTCTTATCTGAGTTGAATGAATTTGAATCCTAATGTTATATCTTCTTTAGCAGATATTATTTCTGGATAACTTCTTTTGAGGTGAAAAATAAATATTTAGTATTTTACTTTTTCTATATATATATATGGCCTAGTAATCGAAAGATGTATGAGGAAAAATTCTTTCTCCCATTTTTCGTTCCCTTTCTTTTTTTTTTGTTCCCTTTCTTTTTTTTGTGGCATTTAAATCATATTCTAGATTGAAGTTCCTTATGTCCAGTCTTGTGTATCTGACCTAAGCGTAGCTAGAATTCACATCTATGCTTGTGAGTCATAAATTTTAATTTTATGAACCTGTAAAGTTTGTTAGCATGTGATCTGTTACACATGCTAAAAAATTACTCTTAATTGTAAGAGTACTTAAATATATCACAGAGGAGAAAAACAAATTAAAATTACTGTTTGGGCCACTGAAACTATTTACTTTGCTAAATAGATGAAAAAGAAGGGAAGCTTAAAGATGGCTGTATTTACAGCTATATCCTGTAGTCATAGATTTTTGAGGGAAAAATAGATCATATGCTATAAAGATAAATATATAATGTTCTTATTATGTACAAATAATGTGACAGTTTTGTTTAATCAAATTAAAATCATAAAACTTAACATCTTAAATAGAATTGTGGTTTGTATCTCCCACATAACATCACAGACACCAAAATTTTTTATTATTATTATTTCAGATGATAGGATTAGTGATTATTTAAAAAAAATTTTTTTGGTAAATGTTTAAGTGTTTTTGTGCCTAACTTGTATTGCCAGCCCTGTCTGTTCTCTAAAAACATATGTTATTGTGGTGCTTAAATTTTCTTTTTATTAAGTCCTATATCCAGAAACCTTGCCTGTGAGTTTAGAAAGGGCTTTTGATTTTACTTTCTTTTTTGCTCATGAAAATAACCCAGTCCTATAGAATCTTTTAGTTTAACTGAGCATCTGTGGAATTATTTAAGATTTCAAAATATGGAATATACAGCCTTCATATTGAAAAGTACTTTAATTTATGGTTATAATAAAATTTGCATAATTCAGGTAATTAGTTTAAAAGAATGGAGCTCTTTCGTCCTTAACCTAAGGTACATATTTTTTCCTAGTATGGTGCTTTGCACAAAGTGACTTCTGAAAAATGGTTCCCTTTAAGATAATGATGTCATATAATCATTGTTTTATGTTACTTGTTATGAAGAATGTTATTTCAGGTTGAAACTGGAGTTCTTTTTTCTCACATTAAGTATTTCTTTATTGGGAGCAACTATAACCATGGTTAAATGCAACGTGAGCTGTGTCAATACTGTTGATGTGAAATCATGTTGTCTGTGTATTATGATTTATTGACTTATTTATGCATGTAAATTGGGTGCATTTTGTTGCCACTGTATGTTAAACGGTGACCAATGTTTTTACAAAGGAATTGAACAAAGAAAAATAACTTTTAAGAAATTTTGGAATGTGGTTTTGATTTTGAAATTTGATTTTCTTTCTAATCTCAGAAAATCCTGGTTATTCTGTAGCTTAAAGGAAATAGTATAAATAAATGCAGACATGACTGAAGCGGCTTAGCAGCAGCAGCAGCAGCAGAAGAGATATCCAAGCCTTCTATATAAGAATGTGTCATTTACTTTACTCCTTTTCTCCAGAAAATGAATTTTAAAAGTAATAGAAGTTTATCTTCTATTCCAAAAGCTTGTGCAAACCGTTTTGAAGTATATTTTCCCAGTTTTAGAATTATAGTTTCTTGCCATCTTAAGAGTGTATTAAATGTAATATAATCTTTTTCTTGACCAATTGGGATCTTACCTAGGACGCAGTAGTGGGTCAATGTAAGGGGGTCAATCATTGTAATACACTGCATTAATAGAATGAAGCAGAAAATACCAGATCATCATCTCAATTCTTGCAGAAAAGCGATTTGACAAAATACAACATCTTTTTTTGTGTGGAAGAAACAATCAGAAAACTAGGTATATATCTGGTTTTTATAGTTTTTTCATCCCCCCCATCCCCCATTTTTTGCTTCTCTCTCTGGAAATTGCTCGCTGTCTCTAATTTGCTGTTTTTTGGCTGTGTGCACTTAGAAACTTGATAGTCAGTCTTACCGTAAATTATTTGAGAAATATTAGAAAATAGGCTGTGGAGCCTGAATGAGATGATGGTGGGGATGATGATGATAAATATAATGTTAGTTCCCTTTTGTTAAGCACTTACTGGTTGCTTTGTACTGTAGTATTTTATACACATTACCACACTTAATCTCTGTAATAGCAATGTTAAGTTGGTACTATTATTATTCTTCTTTCATATTGAGCAAATGGAGACATGGAGAGGTTAGTTTGCACAGGGCGTCACTATTGATAAGTGGACTAAAGTCTGGCTTTGTCCAAGCATGAAGTCTGTGTTCTTAACTACTTACTATGCAGTTGGGACAGCAGTTGCAGGGACCTATAATGTCTGTTCTCTGCTCAGTCTTCTTTTTGCCTGTATATTTATGGAGTTATTTTATCACTTATACCTTAAGGGAATTGTACTAAAACTCTCCAAGTTCATTTAACAAAACTTGTTTTTGACTGTATATTATGTACTAGGAACTGTGCAAGTCTCTGAATGAACAGCCAGAACATCCATTTATCCTTAGGAAGCTTATTCTGGGGGGGAGCGGAAGTGAGGGAGGAGAATACAAGAAAGCAGTTGTACCCTTAAATAAGTGGTGAAAAGTTCTTTAGAAATAAATGAAACGAGAAGGCTAGAAAGTTCCGGTGGTCATATTGGGGGGTTATTTTTATACAGAGTGGTCAGGGAGCACCTGAAAGAAGTAAGAAATAAGCAATACATATATCAGGGAAGAGAAGGTATTATGCTAGGTTCCAGAAAGTTGATGTTTAGAGAATCTCTACTATATGAAATATTTTCATATTTCACTTTGGAATGCATTATATGATTTTTTTCTTTTAAAAATTGAAGTGTAGTTATATACAGTACTATGTTAGTTTCAGATATGCAGCACAGTGAGTTATATATATATTTATATGTATATATTTTTTCAGATTCTCTCCCCTTACTGTTTATTATAAAATGTTGCATATAGTTCCCATGCTATACAGTAGGTCCTTGTTGGTTATCTATTTTATATATAGTGGTGTGTTTATGTTCACCTCAAATTCCTAATTTATCCCTCTCTGTTCTCTTTCTGCCTTGGTAACCATAGTTTGTTTTCTGTGTCTGTGGGTCTATTTAAGTTCATTTGTGTCTTTTTCTTTAGATTACACATATCAGTAATATCATAGGATATTTGTCTTTCTCTGTTTAATTCACTTAGTATGATAATCTCTAGATCCATCCCTGTTACTGCAAATGGCATTATTTCACTCTTTTTAGATGACTGAGTAATATTCCATTGTATATATGTGCCACATCTTCTTTATCTGTTCCTCTGTTGATGGACATTTAGGTTGCTTCCATGTCTTGGTATTGTAAATAGTGCTGCAATGAACATTGGGGTGTGCATGTAAATTTTCATAATTGATTTTCTCCAGATACATGCCCAGGAGTTGAATTGCGTGTAAAAAATTTCCTTGTTTGTTTTGCAGTATTCATGTTTTCAGAATTAAGCCTGAATATTAATATTTAAGTATTAAGATGGATACTCCCTGCATATTTATTGACAGCAGTAAAGGGAAATGACTTGGAAGCATGGGGAAGCTACCTTGGGATTCATAGAGTCAGTGGGTGACCAATCTATCAGCAAATGATTTAGGGTTTATTATGTACTCATAATGAAACCTTGTAATGTTTTTTTACCAAGGTAGTAAATGCTATTGGTGTATGAGTTTTAACACTGAAATAAGTTTTTTTCCTCTAAATTTTAGGACTGAAACAGTAATTAAAGCAGGAACTCGTAACATTTTAACATTGAAGCTTTAGAACTTTCAGGACCTATTGATCTTATGCTGATAGTTGTATGAAGCACATGGTGTTTTGTATTGGTATTTGTATGAAATTTTATAACATCATACACAGGTTAATGCAATTGATGAGTTTATGAATGAAGGAAATTTCAGCAGATTTTTTGTTGACTTCTGAGATTAAAAAGATGGAATAGGTATAGGATAGATTATAATTTCTCCACAACTACAAGTCAAGCCTTTCGATGAGTAAATTGTGAGAATGATGACTGAGGAGTTAAACTAAAAAAAAACTCCTTTGTGGGGAGATGAGGGGACTGTTCAAAAACTGTAGGATAAAGAGATTTTCTGTGAGAACTGTAAAAGTCAGTAAAGATTTGATATCTGCTATGCTAATAATATGAAAGCTATACATTTATATAGTGCTTTACCGTTTATAACATTTATGCATATGCAAGCTGTAAATGGAGTCTCAGAGAGATAGTTGAGTCAGAGAAAGCTGCTCAGCACATTTCTGTGGATTGGCTGTGCAACTAGTCTGCTGGTTTTGCCTGGGTTCAGTCATGTGACTGTAGTCCAACTGGTGAG